GTATACATATACAAATAAAAACCAGATGCCAACACCAATACAAATACAGATACAAATGCAAATACAAAGAGGAATACGAGTAGAAATAAAGTTACAAATACGAATACAAGTAGAAATACAAACAGAAATATATCTATAAATACAAAAGTAAATAGAAATACAAATATCAATACAAATACAAATTCACAAAGACAGCAACAAAGAAGGAGACAGCAGCAGCACCAAAAAAAAAAATATCCTCACCACCCAACGGAGACAGAGTACAGCTCCTGGGTGCCCCCCCCTCCAGGCAGAATAGCGTCTGCCTGTACACCCCATACACAGACAAACACAAGCCTCTGCAAGTCAGCAGCAGCAACAGCAGCAGCAACAGCAACAGCAGCAGCAGCAGCAACAGCAGCAGCAGCAACGGCAGCAAGGCGAACGGCTGGTGCATCTGAACATGAGGCGGATGATAATAATAAACTTTTAAAGGGGATAATAAATAAAGATTTGTTGGAGTATATATATACATATGTATATATATATATATATATATANATATATATATATATATATATATATATATATATATATATATATATATATATAGCTTTACTGACATCTACAGTAGCAATAACAGTATTTTCTTCAGTTTGTATAGCTGCACTGCTGCAGCTAAAAGGAAGCAAATCAGTAGCCAGGACACGGGGACGCATCTCCGCTCGTCCCCTGCCGTCCCCTCGAACCCCACAAGCTGCTCCGTCTCTTATAAAGTTTGTCTCTGCTCTGCTGATAGGCCCCTGAAAGGAGGAGAAGAAGTTTGAATAGAAGCCCGTTGGTGGAGACGCAGACGCACGGGGAGGGGCCCCCGGGGGCCCCAAACCAGGGGCCCTCAGGGGCCCCTCATCCAGCTCCATAGATAAGGGGATTGCGCTCAAGAGGGAGAAACAGAAAGAAGACAGAACACCCTAAGAGGTAAACAGACAGAGAGGAGAGACAAGGAGACAGCCCGGTGCAAGCTGCTGCTGCTGCAGCACGCCGCCCGTGTCCCCAGGGGATATGAAGGCAGCCCGAGGGCTGTAAAGGACCGACGACAGCAGCAGAAGAAGAAGCAGTAGAAAGAGGAGGAACAGGAGCAGCAGGAAAGGGAGGAGCAGATGGAAAGCGGAGACAACCCCGAGAAGGGGGAGGTAAAGAAGCAAACAAAGGCCAACAAAGAAGAGGATATACCTCTAGGGAGAGAGAGGAGACAGAACGCTGCAGCAGAAGGGCCCTGATATGCACGAGGGTCTCTCTCCCTGCAACTAAGGCCTCCCTGGGGCCCCTCAGTCTCTGTGTGTGTAGAGAGGGAGCTGAGATAAGAATCTCTTTGTAAAGGAAATAGAGCCGCTAACAAAACACACAAAGGAAGAGAATAAATAAAGGACAAAGAGCAGGGGATGGTTTGTCTAAGGGTATTTGCTGCAGCAGCAGCAGCAGCAGCAGCAGCACCGGCTGTTGTTGCTGCTGCAATCGGCAGCCCATCATCAACAACAACCTGCTACGATCCCCTAAACGGATGCAGCGGGAGTTTGTTTGTTTTGCTTTTGTGTTCTTTTTTTGTCTCTTCTTCTGCTCAAGAGAGCGCAAGTAAGTGTGCTGTTTTATGTTGATTGAGGACTTTAATTATATGGGGTCTGGGCCTTTCTTTTTCTCCTGCTGACCTTGCTGCGAGGCACTCTCTCATCTTAACCTGCCTGCTGCTGCTGCTGCTGCTGCAGCTGCTGGCTTTGCTTCGCGTTTTCTTATCTTATTTGTTCTTTTGGGAAGAGAACACGGGCGTTTGTGGTGGGAGCAGCAAGATCCCCTTTGATGCACAGCAGCAGTAGCGGCGGCGGCAGCAGCAGCAGCATCAGCAGCAGCAGCTGGTGCTGCTGCTGCAGCAGTCCTTGATCTTTTGAATTATCATTGCTTTCTTTACTTGTCCTGTTTATTTTGTATAACTGTATCCTATTGTTTACCCCTTAACGCCTATCGGGGCTTCCGTGACGCCTCACCTCTCCCCTCGGTCTGTGTGCATTCGTCTAAGCAGAGGCCGCAAGCCGGCAGCCTTATCTTTCTTCTTTCTCTAGGATTCCAAAGCAGAACTTCTAGGGAACACACGGGCATATCTGAGTAGCAATACGGTGGTGGGAGGCGGCACAACAGCTGCAGCAACAGAGGCAGCCGCAGCAGCAGCAGCAGTAGTAGCAGCAACAGCTGCTGCAACAGCTGCAGCAGCAGCAGTTGCAGCAGCATAAACAGCAGCAACAACCGGATGGGGGCAGCTGTTACACACACGTGCCACCCTTTCGTTCACACATAACATGACCCTCAGCCTGTGACGGACTACGGGCTCGATCCCCCTGACATCTTTTTGATTGCATCATGGAACAGCAGCAGCAGCAGCAGCAGCAGCAGCTGCAACAGCAGCAACAGCAGCTGCAACAGCTCCAACATTTGCAGCAACAACAGCAACAGCAGAAGCCTCAGCCTTCATTGTTTCAGGAACCAGCAACTAGCATAGTGCAGCATCCTGGTGTCTCCTTTACTTCTTCTCCTTCGCCTCATCCTCATGGTGAGGCTGCTGCATCGATCCCAGTAGCATATCCTATAGATTATAAGAGTTGGGCCGCTGCTGCTGCAACGCAGCTGCAGCAGCAGCAGTTACCTTCTCCTCCTTCAGCTGTACATACACCCCAAGACTCCCCATCGCGTGACGTGTGGGGTCCCCACAGTGTATCTCCTGTATATTCTCCTGCTCTAGGGAGCGACTATGCTGCGTGGCAGCAGCAGCCGGGTGCCCCTCATGCTAGCCCTCGAGATGGCCAGCAGCCGCAGCAGTTTTTGTTGCTGCAGCAGCAGCAGCAGCAACAACAGCAGCAACCATCAGGGGATTGTCCCAGTGGAGACAGCCCCCTCCCTCGCCCTAGTGCTCTATCAAGCGATAGTATGAATGTAAGCTTTGATGCTGTGCTAGAACAAGTATGTAGGCTGCTGCATACAAACAGCGGGGGGACAGCATCATCAGCATCAACTCCAAGAAAAACATCTTTCGCAGACTGTCCCCTCGATGGGCTTATGCCTGCAGCAGCACATATAGCTGTGAATGGCCATATGTGGACTGGTGAGGAGTTACCCTTTGCTGCTGCTAGTCCCACTGCTGCTGCTGCTGCTGCTGCTGCAGCAGCAGCAGAGGCAGCAGGAGTAGATCCCACACAGCAACAACAACAACAACAGCAACAACAACAACAAATACAGCAACAACAACAGCAACAACAGCAACAGCAACAGCAGCAACAACAGCAACAGCAGCAACAGCAACAAAGATCCTCAGGCAGATCAAGGACACAGGGGAGAACCAAATACGGCCGTCCACACAATCGTAAGTGCTGTTTCTTTTTTTTTTTTCCTCTTTCTGTCTCTTCTGTCTCTTTTCTTTCTCTTTCTGTCTCTTCTGTCTCTTTAC